CGCGGGCTCGGCTCGCGCAGGCCCCTGCTGGCCGGGCGGCCCAGACACGCACCTGCCCTTGGCCGAGCGCTTGGCGGTGATCTTGTCCAGCTCCTTCCTGCCGGCCTTGAGGTCGTGCCTGCCCTCGATGGAGCCCGTCTGCGCGGCGTTCTCGGGGTCCCAGAAGGTGATCTGGGCGTTCAGCGTAGCCACCGCCAGCTCCGCACCGTCAGGGCGAAAGGTCACGGCCAGTGCTGCCGAGACACTGGTCAGGGCTGAGGGGCCACGCGGAGGCCTGGCCAGGCTTTAACTAGAGGGGCCAGCTGGGCACCGGGGGCGGGCGGGGGCCCCGAGGTGCCCCCAGGCTGCGCTCCAAGGGGTCTTGGTCTGGCGCCAGCGGCTGGGAGCCACCTCGGGGCCAGCAGGGCGGGCGGCAGTGGCCAGGCTGCCGAGGGGCCTGCTGGCCAGGACAGCAACCTTGCCAGAGGCCGGTCAGCGGGGAGGCTTGTGGGCAGCCGGCTGTTCAGGCCCAGCTGAACGGCCAGAAGGCCGGCAGCAGGCCCTGGCCGTGTGACCAGCGGGTGCCAGTGGAGAGCAGGGGCTGTCCGTGCGCAGGACCCCGCCCACGCCAGCGGGGACACGAGCCCCGAGACGGGGGGGGGGGGGGGGAGGTGCCCGCCCCCGCCACACCACCTGCTCTCCCCGGCTCCCGCAAGCAGGGGTCCGGCTGGATCTCAGGGGCCTGGGTGGACACAGGAGGTGCAGACAGCAGCGGGAGCCAATGGCCAGGAGACCCCACTGGCCGCCAGCCCTGAGAGCCGGGGCCGCGCCTCTGCCCTGCCCAGACCTCGCCGGGGGGAGCAGGCCTGACCCTCGGCCTGGCTGGCAGCGTGCAGCTCACCGTCCGAGGTCAGGGCCAGTGTCTCGGTGGTTCTCCAGCTGTCCACCAGGTCCCACAGGCGCACCGTCCTGTCCCAGGAGGCGCTGGCTAGGACCGACCTCGTCGGGTTGAAGCACAGACCGCTGATGGGCCCCTCGTGACCGGACAGGACCTGGGGGCACAGAGAAGGGGGTGCTGTGGCGGCGCCCGCCCGGGACCCGCGAGGCCACCGGCGCCCCACCGCCGCCCCGGCCCGTGCCCAGGAGGCCAGCTCACGTCCAGGAGCCGGCCCGTCTGCATGGACCAGACGAAGACCTCGAAGGAGTCCTGGGCCCCGGCTGAGACGATCTCGCCGCTCGCGTCCACGGCCACACAGGAGAACTGGGTGGGGCGGGGCGACGTGAGGGTGCGGAAGTTCCGGTACCTGGGGGGGCGGCGGTCAGCATGGGGGCTCGTGGGCCTCCCCTGCCCCCGCCAGCCCGCAGAGGTCACCTGTGAAGGTCGAAGGCACGCACGGTCCCGTCCACGGAGGAGGTGACGACGACGTAGCCGGTGCCAGCGAAGGCCACGCCGGTGACCCCGCTCGAGTGCTCCGTGAAGGTGACGAAGCAGAAGCCGCTGAGGGTGCTCCACACCTTGACCTGCGGGCAGGCGTGTGGGCGGGGCCTGGGGCCAGAGCACCCGCAGGGGGCCAGCGGGGAGCCCACCCAGAGGCCGGGGGGCGGCCCCCGCCTTCACGCCTCTTCAGGAAGAACCCCAAGGTCGCCCAGCGGCCGGCCGGCCCCGCCCCGCCCCGCCCCAGGGCGCTGCCCACCTTGCCGTCGTCCCCGCCGGTCACGATGTACTGGCCGTCGGGGGAGTAGGCCAGGGCCACCATGCTGTCGAAGTGGCCTTGCTGCTTGAACACGTACGACTCGCTCTGCCACTCCCACACCAGCAGCTGGCCCAGGCCTGCGCAAACGGAGCTGGCACCGCGCCGCGGGCACCCCGCCCCCGGGCACCCCGCCCCCCGCCCCCCGGCCCTGCACACACCTGAGCAGCCGAGGGCGACCCAGTCCCCGGAGCCGTTGATGGCCACGGCGGAGACGCTCTGGTCGGAGATGCTGCGGGCGGGCGGGGCGTGGGGGCGTCAGGGCCGCGCGGGGGCGGCGGCAGTGGCCCGCCCCGAGCAGGACGCACCTCAGGGAGTGGATGAGGCTGAAGTCCGGCAGCTCGTGCAGGTGGAAGACCCCGGACGCGAAGCCCGTGACCAGGAGGTGGGAGCCCCTGTGGTAGGCGGCGGCGGTCAGGCCGGTGAAGTCCCCCTCTTTGTTGAGAAAGTGCCTGCGCGACAAGGGGGTGCCGTGGGGCCAGCAGGAGGCGGGCGGCCCGGGTGCCCTGGCCCCGGCGCCCAGGCCCCGGCGCCTACTTGGCCAGCCGCGAGTACTTCACTTTCCCCTGCTGCTCCTCTGGGGCCGGCGCGGC